GGGTGTTTGGTGGCAGATTGCAGTGGGAAAATGACACTTTTGATTGGGATGTATGCTCGCGGGAAGGCGAGAAGTGAGGTATTATTCCCTTATCGGGCTTTATGCCCATTCTTCATCCTCACGTGAATTATACGCAGGAGTACATGCGATTCAGGTTGGTGTTTTCATGGACAGACTACATGCATCCTAGTTTGGAATTCCAGAATTTTCCCGGTTCGTCATGTAGGGGTAAAAATTAGAAGATTTACTGGCTGTGTTTTACATTTAATTATTTCCAAGTGATGCCTGAACAATAAATTGGGAGGCAACCTTGTTTGGGAATCACATTTATTTTTCAGATTTGCTAAATCTCATCTAGATGAGATATAATTGTGTTACATCTAAGTCCATCACCACATGATCAAACTTGCTGCAAAATCAAGAAACAAAACTTGCTGCAAAATTGGTGCAACAGTCGTCCCTCACGCTCGTTTACTTCTTTTTTTGGGAGATGATAAGCGCCGGTGCACCAGCCCAAATTTTGTCGGGTTGGACCCTGAGCGTCCGATCCACTCCCTTTTGACCGTCCAGATTGAGCCTCTGTTCGTTCTCATCCCCGTGTCTGTCTTCTTCCTCAAAACACACAATAAAAAGAGCGACGGAGAGCGCCGCCAGCCACCTTGCTCCCAACCATGCGCATGCCTATGCTGTTGACAGTGCGCTTGCAGCCTTCCGGTCGCCGTTCAGATCGCTCACCATGGCTACTTCACCTTGCAACTCCTGGTTGTGGACGCCTCGCTCCGGCAACGCCGTTCCTAGCACCGGCCGGCAAAAGGGGTGCAGCTCGCGGTCCCCATGGTTGCCGCACCGGGTTGCGCCGCCCCCACTGCCCCTCGCCGTCAACGTTGGGCGCACCGGTGCCCGTCCGCCGCCCCTCGGTTGCAGCTCTGGACGATGTCGTGGCTGATAGTAGCAAATTTCATGGCCGTTTGTAGCACACACGGACGCCGGTTCCAGCAAACTCGTCATGTCTTGGCTAGTGCGCATCACCACCACCTCTCGTGGTAGCAGCCGTCGACGACGGTTGTAGCAAGGCCGTGTGCAGCACCACCACTAGCCGTCGCACGGCCTTGCAACTTTTCTCAATGCCGGTTCCAGCTTCCAAGACTGCCGGTTCCAGCAAAAATAGATCGTCGGTGCCGCCACCTCGTCACCATTGTAGCAAAATCGATCACCGTTTTTAGCTTTTGTGATTGCCGATTGCAGCTCGCCGCGTAGCCGTTTCCAGCATGCCAAGCAGTCGGTTCCAGCAAAACTCCATGGCCGGTTTGCATTGTCGCCCCGTGTTAGTAGCAATTCTCCCTGACGGTTCCAGCATATACCGTTGCTAGCTCCAGCAAAAAAAAGAGGGTGGTTGTAGCAAACTGGGAATTGTCGGCCGCTGCTCCAACTCCCAGCAATGGCTCGCCGCTCGTCCTCCCAGCACCCGCTTGCAGCC